ATTGGACGGCAAAAACCATAAACCACATTTTCTTTTAAGATTTAAAAAACAGTTCACACTGCAAGCTGTCGCGTTCTTTGCCTCTCTTAGCATCAGGCGATTATGAATCTGGGATTGTTTATTCCCATCTTTATTGTTTATCCAGCACCCGAGAAGCTTCGTCAGTTCTGAAGAACAACCCTTCTTTTCTGAAGAATTGAAGAAGCTGCTCGGATGAGAAGCAAAATGTTTTCAAGGAAGGAAAAAAAAAACACCCAAGAAAGAGCAGTTGCCTTTTGGAAAAGCACCTTTAGCACTCTGAAGGGAAGAACATTTTTTTTACTGGACGAGAGGGACAGTGAAAGGAACTACGTACCCCTGTTATTGTCGCAATCTTGTACATTCCGTAAGCATAGATCTCAATGAACCCATCAATGCCTCCAAGAACCAGGGCATTAAGCCTAGGTAGAAAAGGGGTTTTTTAAAAAAAATTGAGAGAGAGAGAGAGACACACACACACACACACACACACACACACAAAGACAGACAGGGAGAGAGACAAAGAGACAGAAAGGGAGAGACAGAGAGAGAGAGAGACAGAGAAAGTGAGAGACAGAGAAAGAGAGAGACAGAAAGAGAGAAACAGACAGATGGAAACAGAGACAGATACAGAGAGAAAGAGAGAGAGACAGAGAGACAGACAGATGGAGACAGAGAGAGAGACACACACACACACAGAGACAGGGAGAGACAAAGACAGAGAGACAGAGAGAGAGAGACAGAAACGAGCGATACGGAGAGCATGAGAGAGAGAGACAAAGAGAACAAGACAGAGAGAAAGAGAGACAGATAGAGAGACAGGCAGGCAGCGAGACAGAGACACAGAGAGAGAGAGACAGAGACAGAAGGAAAGTAATCATGGATGCAGTCATGTTAGAAAAAAATTCTGTGTTAGCCATCGCTTGGTCATATATACAGGTACTTCTCAACTGATGTCCACAATTGAGCTAAAAATTTAGGTTGCTAAGTGACACATTTAATCAAATCAGATTAATCAAACAAATTGCTCCCTTTTCAGCATCCTTGCTTGGGAGTGCAAACGATAAAATTTTACTGCACCTCCAGAAGTCCTACTCAGCCTAGGTTTCTAGTCTGAACCCCAAAGAAGTAGGCCCTACTCAAAGAGAATTCAAAGGAGGTTTTATTGGCTTCCTGAGGAAAACTTGCTGGGTTTCCTTTTAGATACTCAGAACCAGAACCTAATTTTTCCCTTTTTGGAAAATAATAATTTAAAAAACAAAGTTACCTGATGTCGCCCATGAGTTTCATAATTTCGTCGGATTTCTCTTCACTAAAATACAATAATCAAGATCAGTTAAAAGCAGCTCTAAAAACCAGAAAGTTTTCTTTTTGGGCTTAATGGATAAAGACTTGAAGGGGGGGATTGGAACTTTGATGTTATATACGCTGACAGCAGCAAGATTACTTTATGCACAAAAATGGAAGGAGGCTTTGATTCCCACAATGGACAAAGGGCTGCAAAAGTTGGTGGAGTTAGCAGAGAGGGCTAAACTGACTGTTTTGATTAAAGCACAAAAACACACAATTACTTCTGTTTCTACTTGGAAACAAATAGTTTGGACTTTGTGCTTGAGGTGAGGGAAAAAGATGACACTTTGATTTTATATTGGTTTGTTGTTATGGTTTTACTGATTAGACAGCTTTGCTGTTACAGAGAAGAGGGTTTATCTTCTAAATATATAAAAGTGAAATGCCACTCATGCATCATCACAAAATCTCCAGAAACGTAAAGCCTACAAACTTGAAATTTGGCATGTTTATTCCTCTTGGCTTCTAGGGGCTCACTAAGAAAGGATTTTTCCAAATGACCATCAGAGCCTTAGTATTTCCTTTTTTATGATTATTAACACACTCTGATGCTAAAGTGTTCTACTCCCCCTTCCCACCTGGAAATAAATCTCCTCCAAATGCAAAACACAAGCAGAGGAATTTCAGTTTCAGTTTCTCAGCACCAAGCAGCTTTAAACGGTTGAGCTAAGCCACACCCAGGCTCCTTGCTGTCTCCTTCTTGCTCACACAGCAAATACTGTTTCAGTTTCCAAACATCCCTCAACTCTCTCACATAATGACAGGAAGCTAACCACATGAATACTGATGGATGCTGGTAGGCAGAAGCAGAATTTTTTTCCCCCCTTATTTTCTCCCCCCCCAAACTAAGCTCAACCATAAAGTTTCGTAGCAAAGCACGGGTATCGAGCTAGTATTACTATGTAAAAGTAAAAAATTGAGGTTTGATGCTATTATCTTATTACACTGCACGAAAGGGAGTCAGAAATTTCTTTCTTTTTCCCTACACTTTTCCTTTCCCTTCTCCCTTATTTTCCTACTGTTATATTTTTGCATTTTATATTATAAACTAGTAAAAAAAAAAAAATCAGTTAAAACAAGCATATCTGACCAAACCCTCATTCTCCAAATTCTCAAAGAGTTAAACAAACAGAATAGGAATTTTACCTGAAGATCTTTGCTGTGGTGCTGTAGCTGCAATTTTAAAAAAGAAACAGAAACATATTCAGAGAATGGTGTTGATGATTAGCTAATTAAACAAGAGAGGGAATGGATGAATAGATAAATAAAACATCTCCATGTTCCCTGCAGTTATTAAAACACAACATACAAGCAGAATTGTAATTTACAATAAGTCAGGTCGTATTAATTCTATTCTTGCTCTGGATTAGGCCAAAATTACTTCTGGACAATTGCATTCCAAGATAATATGAAGATATCCAACAATGATCCTTCCACACTTGGCTAGAAATCATCAACTGCCCCCAGAATGTTATGGTTCAAAAAGATCTCTGACGTTGTCGCGCCAGTGAAACCATCATGAATTATAGCGAAACTCAGTGACCAGTGGTGGGATTCAAATTTTTTTACTACTGGTTCTATGGGCGTGGGTTGGTGGGCGTGGCAGGGGAAGGATACTGCAAAATCCCCATTCCCTCCCCACCCCGCTAACCTGCTTTCCACCTCCGTTCTCCTGTGCAAGGCAACCAAAGGAGACCCAGCCAATCAGCTGGGACTCAATAGGAGGCAGAGAACAGATGGCCAGTCAGAGGTGGCATTTGCCGGTTCTGCAAACTACTTCAAATTTCTGCTACCGGTTCTCCAGAACTGGTCAGAACCGGCTGAATACCCACCTCTGTCACAGTCCCTCAAAACCTGTTAGTAAGGTTGAAACACTATTTAATTCAACCAGGCTTATTATTCTGAGCATCTAGGAGCAAACCCATTCTACTCAACAGGCTTACTTCTCAGTAATCTTGCCTAAGACATGGTGTAAAAAATAATCTAAAATCCTAAAACCGCCAACAATCAGGTCACAAATTCAGGCATATGTTCAACGCCTTCAGTTCCAAAAATGGCTTCATTCAACTATCAAAGGTTTGTGAAGGCCAAGCTTCATATGCACTTCCAACTCCGTTGTTCCTTCCTGACAACACAACTTACTTCTTTGGCAAGGCAGGCAACTTAGGAAGGAGAAGACTGGACTCGTCTTCAGCATTATAAAACGAAGTGAGAACGCTGAAATGAAAGAACGATACTTGGATTTAATGCCTGGAAGATCCTGGTGAAAATAAAACTACGTGTCAGAACCTACTTCCCAACACGATTCTCTTTTGGGGGATGTGAAAGTTACAAATCCCAGAAGAGGCCACTTTGAAGGCTGATTTCAAAAGAATTAGTAAAAATATCGGATCTAAATTATTATGCAAATTTCAACTGAATTGTTGTGATGAGATCCCTGGCTTCCCCGGTTATCTCTCCAGATTTCAGCTCAGAGGAAAGGGAACCAGTTCCAGGCACATCTGGAAGGGAGTTAGTCATTGGCTCCCAGAAGCCATCTTAGAGGGATTTGGCTCCAGCACAGCTGTAGCAGGACATCCCTAAGGCTTCAGGTGGCGAAACCATGCAGCTGCATCCAGTCAGTGAAGAGGAGGAGGAAGTGCCTTCTGTTCTTGATCCAAGAACATACAGGGCAGAGAAAAGGCCGGCACAGAGAAGGTCAGCCCGATTACACGCAAGGAGGCAGCCTCAGCCCTCTTGATGGGCTGCACCGGAAGCTGGTTATTAAGCACAGAAGACACATGGAGGCCATGCTGAGAACGACATGTTCGTTTCCTAGCTGTGTGTTTTCTGATCATTGTGATTCCTGCCTCACTTTGGATTGTCCCCCTGCCTTGACTTTGGATCGTGCCTTGTGAACTCTGGACTTTTCTTGCCTCGTGAACCCTCTTATGTTGTGGATTTAATTTTTCCTGGTGAGGGTTATCTTGTCTGGGAAACTTTCAAGTGCCTGGTGGACTCATTGGCCATTGCAATGTAGACTAGCATCGGTCTGCTCACTAACTGGACTTAACTGGGACGTTTCTGGGTTTTTGGTGAAGGGAATTGTGTGCAGGGATGCGCTTCAAAACTTTCAGCAACCAGTTCTCTGCCTGGTTGCTGGGTGGGCGTGGCCATGGTAGGTGTGGCCTAGTCAGCCTCCTGTACCCTGGGGGGGGGGGACTTTTTCCCTCCCCTGACTCCTGAGGTTTTTGTCGAGCCTCCAGGAGGGCAAAAACAGCCTCCCTGGGCTCCAGAGGCCCTATGGAGACCGAAAATGGGTGTGTGGGGACTCCTGGAAGGGACAGGGTGGGGTGGGAGGGGCCAGTCAGGGGTGGGATTTGCTGATTCGCCAAACTGCGCACAATCTTAGTTAGAGGATTGCCCAAATCCATCCCAGCCCGCCCCTGGTTGTGGGGGAACATGCATAAAACCATTAAACCAGAGTTATCTGTGTGTGTGAGAGAGAGAGAGAAAGGACTGATCTTGAATTCCGACATACCTGTTTTCCTCCGTAACTTCCATCCAGTACATGAACGTGAGAGGAACGCTGACCGAAAAAGAATGCAAGCTCTCTGGTTTTTCCACATCACACAGAATAACTTTCTTCGTATCCGCAAGTCCAAAAGCCAGAACTGCAAAAGCAATGGGGGGGGGGGAGGCAGGGGAATTAAAACATCCTTTAAGATCTGGGATCAATGAGGACTAGAAACCAGAAGTACAGAGGAGAAAAAAGGAGAGGAAAGGAAGACTCGTTTGGTAATAAGACGCGTGGAAGGTTTTTGACGATATCCCTTTGAAAGAGAAAAAGTTTGTGGTTGATGTTCTCATCATAAACTCAATGGATAAAGTTCCAATTGCTCATAACCAACTTTTAGTAAATGTCCCACACACCACATCCAATATACTACGCTACCAGAAAGATGTCAACTCATAAAATATTCCTATGGTCTTTTTAGAGTTCCCAACAGAAAGGGAGGGGGAGCTCGCAAACCAAAACTGCATTCCATAAATAGTTTTCAAAGATAGTAACTAGGTGACTGAAGTTTCTGCCCTGCAAAATTCTAACTGGAGAGCATGATTGATGACTCTTGACTATGGATGTGTCCCATTGGAGAATATGAATTACGATACACCCGGAGGGTGGAGGGAAACCAGCGTCAAGGGTGACAATGAATGATGTGTCTCAGAGTCGGCTACACCCTTTTGAAGTTTTGGAAGTTTGGCTCACAGCTCATGATTTGAATGGGAGTGACTCCCGGAACCCTAATGGTACCGGGGGGAAATCCAGCCATCTTGAACGTATGAACCTTTAACATAAAGTGTTGTTTTGTCACACATTACTTTTGCCGTCTGGTCTCCAGGCGAGCGCGGATACTTCTTTGCCCGTGCTTTCATTTGGCGGCAAACTCCAAACTCGCTGAAAATTTGCCAGGCGGTGAAGCAAAACCTAGAAAGAGATGGAGAAATTAAATCAAGTCCAGGAGTGGGCTTCAAATTTTTTTAAGCAAGGGGCTCTCTGCCCTAATGACTGGCTGGGTGGACATGGTTAGGTGGTCATGTGACTGGGTGGGTGTGGCCAACTCAACGTCAATTCTTTGCCCTAATTACCTAAATAAAGTTATATACCAAAAAGTTGTTTTATTATTTCATGCATTTAATACTTAAATAAAAGACTGGGTGAAACCAGGCTTAACAGCAGTGACTGTAAGGGTCTTAGTGGAGTTTCTGGTGAGTTATGTGATTTTCATTATTTGGGAATTAATCCCCTTGGAGGTGAGTGGTTATGTTATCTGATTTTCTCAATGGCTCTCCCTTGCAAGCGCCAGTGGATTTTTTATCTAGCTTGCCACAGTTACCAGTTGTGAAATGCTCTTGGCAGAACGCCCAGAAGTTCAATTAAGCCTATGAAGAGCTTTCCCTGGCTGCTTGTCTTTCTGAGGTTATTGGGGGCTTTCCAAGCCCCGCACAGTCTTAGCTAGGGTCTTTTCCAAGCCCCACCAGCCCATCCCTGACCACGCCTATCTTTAGAAGAAAGGCGAAGTCTTCTAAAACTCCTGTTGCTCAAGGTTACTCCTATTTCCCATCACAGGGAGAGCTCTCCTGCGGAATCCAGAGCCTCGCCTGGTTTCCAAATCGTTTGAAAAGACAAGCAAATTGGAAATGAATTTGCACAAGCTCTTTCAACCAAGAACTTCTGGAACCAGGTAAGAATCATTCAGATCAGGGAAGGGGAACGATGGCCCTTGTGTGACTTGTGGACTTCAACTCCCAGAATTCCTGGAGCCAGCAGAGATGGCGAATGATGGCCCTTTTAAGACTTGTGGACTTCAACTCCCAGCATTCCTGAGCCAGCAGAGATGGCGAATGATGGCCCTTTTAAGACTTGTGGACTTCAACTTCCAGAATTTCATGCTGGCTTGGGAATTCGGGGAGTTGGAAGTCCACACATCATCAAAGGGCCACCGTTCCCCACCCCTGACCCAGACCAACAGTTTCACAATTGCAAAAGTCAACTCTTTGAGAAGATTGACAGCTGATCCCAAGTTTTATTGTTGTTTTTTGGAGTGCCCTATTGCAACTCCTGCACCCTGCTCTCCATTGGCCCACTTACCTCCCCTACTTTGTTTGCCAGGGCAATCAGATCCCTTTTAGGAGACCAGGCCATAAAAATGACCTCTTGAGGAAGCTGCTTCTCCCCGACTTGCCTGAAAGCTGGCATGGTGGGGGCATCAGTTCCTGTAAACCAATAGATATAAACCATGAATGAGGGTTAGCTCAGATGAATTGAATCTCAGCAACCGGAGGCACCCTCAACAGCGAGTGATTGAATGCCATGATGCCAAATAGAGAGTAACGTACAAATAACCAACTCACAAAATGCCTTAAGGCACATAAATGAGTAAATTGACACTAACAATTAGAGAGCAAGAAGATAAACAATATTACAAAATTTGGGACTTACCGGTATTTTATCAATGGCTAGATAAGAAAATAGAGAAGTAAATGATGTTATGAAAAGGAATACAATAGGTAAGATAAGATGTAATGATACTATATACTTGAATATAATGAAATGAAGTGTATGTTCTCAGATTTGTTAAAACTTAGATTTGCTCGATAAGAACTATATAGATACCTGCGAAAACTTAAGAAAACATGTATGTATGTATGCATATATAAAACATGTGTGTGTGTGTGTGTGTGTGTGTGTGTGTGTAGTTGTCTTATGTAATATGAATATATGTTTGGAAGGGGAGGACTGTTGCTACTATGATATCGCACGAAAGAAACGTACCAACCGACACGCTATATTTTGGAAGATGGTTTTATGTTGATGTTTTATGTTTGTGCTCGTTACTGTTTCTCTTTAACAAATAAAAATCCTTTACAAAAACAAAAACAAGATGCCTTAAGGCAACTAACACAACAGCTGGGACAGAAGTTACCCCTTATCACCCCGATAGTAAATCTTGCATAATCCTGTCACTGTCATCTCCTTTATACTCTAGTAAGAAAGAGACAGTGTATACGTGTATCAAGGAAGGATGAACATAAGATTGGTGAAATCACACTGCAGGCATCCGTTCCGTTTAAGGCAATGTTTCCAGCTACTGATTTGAAAGCAATCCCCTTTTCACACACACCTACAACAGACATGCACAGTTTGAAACTGACTGGGCTACAAGTTAGGTCCATGTTTGTAGAGTAGCTTGTGTAGAGAAGGGGGGAAGAAGAGTGGAGATTTGAATTGGTGCATCTATTTTAGTCCCACTGAAGGGTTAAAGGCGGGGGGGGGGGGGGGGGGGAGGGGGAGAGATTAGAGATAGAGATGGAGATGGAGTTGGAGAGAGACAGAGAGAGATTATGATGATGATGGAGATAGATGATAGATGATAAGAAATAGGGAAAGAGACCAAGATGGAGACAGATGATAGAGATGGAGACAGTGAGATGGGACGCTCACAAATGCACAACACACACACACACACAGATGATAGAGGCACAGAGAGAGATCATATATATATATATATATATATATATATATATATATATATATATATATACACACACACACACACACACACACATATATATATATGTTTTATATATACATATATACATACATACATACATGTTTTCTTAAGTTTTCACAGGTATCTATATGTATGATATTCAGCTTTGTTCGGGTATTTTCCCACGTCATTATAGGTGTGCTTTTAAAGTTGTAACAACATTTCGGCAGAATCTCATCTGCCATCATCAGGCTTCTGTATTGTGTTCATCTGTGAGTCAGACTTTTACATACATATACATACATATATACATACACACACACACACACACACACACACACACACACACACACATGATGGAGATGGATGAATGAATGAAATGTGTCCACCCAGGAGTCACTCTCAAATTGGGAGTAATTTTACCTGAAAAGCAAGCGGTAAAATCTGGTGTACCGTTTGTCCCTCCAGCCTCCCTCCAGTCCGATCCAAGGAGAGCCGAAGCAAAAGCCTGAAACAGGTGGAAAAATGTGAGAATGGACACTACAAAGGCTTCACCTTCTCCGATCGTACAGGATTATTCATTCTGCTCTGCTCAAACTCACATTTTTTCCCCTTTCAAATCCAGAGGTAGCCGGGCATGAAGAGCTTATCTAGATTATTATAAATTCGGGATCAATTAACAAGGGGAACTCCTTTAACGGGGGACAATGGGGGGCATCCAAGACCCACGATATGCCAGGGGGCGCAGTGGGGGTGCCCAGAAAACCTCTGGGCCCAGCTCTGCCTCTCCGCCAGGCCTACCTCCCAGGGTTGTTGTTGTTGTGGCAGGCATAGAACGGGGGGGGGGGGGCGATCCCAGCACATGGCTACCTGGAAGAAGCGGGGCTCCAATTCCTCTGAATTGTTTTGGAGACGACTTCAATGGTAGCTATATCAGGAGGAGGGAGAGGAGAGGAGGAAGAGATGAAAGGAATGAGAGGAGGAGGAGGAGAGGAAAGGAGGGGAGGGGGGGAAGCGCCCCTTCCTTCAGAGGAGCCCACCTTCCCCCCCCCCCGCCGGAAGGGGGGGGGGGGGGGGCTTGGGGGGGAGGCCTTGCTGGCCCTGGTGAACAGCCCCAAACCCCGCGGGGCAAAGCGCTCCTCCTCCACCCCCCCCCATCATCCCAGGACCCCCAAACCCGGCGCGCACCTGGCCGGCCGCTTTGGCTCCGCCTCCTCTTCCTCCTCCGGCTGCTTCTGCGCGGCTAAGGTCGGCCCGCCCGCCCGCCTCTGGGCGGCGGAGGCTCCGGAAGCGGCATCGGCAAGGCCGGCCCTCCGTCCTTCCCGCCGGCGCGGCTCCTGCTCCGCCGCCAGGAGAAGAAGGGAGAGCGGCACCTTGAAGGCCCCGCAAGGGAGGAAGCTTCGGGGTGGGAGTCTCTTCCTCCTTTTGTCCTCCTTCTCTCCTTCTCCTTTTCCCTCTCCTCCTCTGCCTCCTCCTTCCTCTCCCCCTCTTCTTTTCATTTTCCCTCTCTTATCCTCTTCTTCTCTTCCTCTCCTCCTTTTCCCTACCTTTTCCCATCCTTTTCTCCTCCTCTGCCTCCTACCTCTCTTCTTCCTCCTCTTCTCCTCCTCTCCTTCTTTCCTTTCCCTCTCTTTTTCTCATTCTCTTCTTTCTACTTTTCCCTCTCCTCTTCCTCTCTTCTTCTTTCTCCTTTTCCCTACTTCTCCCTCTCCTTCTTGTCCTTTCCTTCTCTTCCTCATCCTCTTTTCTCCTCTTTCTCCTTCTGTCTCTTCTTCTCCCCTCCTCCATCTCTTCTCCTTCTCCTCCTATTCGTTCCTCTTTTTCTTCCTCCTTCCTCTCCTCCTCCCTCCTTCTGCCCCATGCCTCTACAGTTCCTGCCTGTCCCTGGAGCCCAGACCTGGGAAAGGTTGACCCACCAAGCCAGGGACATCCTCTGACCCAGAACATAGAAAATGGAATTGTGGGTTGGAAGGGACCCTGGAGGTCCTCTAGCCCAACCCCTTACTCTAATATGAGAGGCCATGTGACATTCCGGATAAGCGGCTGTCCGTTCTCTTCTTCAAAACCTCCAGTGATGGAAACTCCCACACTTTGGGGAGACTTTCCTTGACTCTGCCACTATTTCTGGAAGAGCCTCTTTTCCCAATCAAACTTAGACCTTCGGATAAAATGGATCTGCCTGAAAAGATCCCACCAGATTCCTGATTTTGGAGCCGGACTCTTGCACGGGAGCTGGCTGACCCCTCTCTCTTCGGCCTTCGGCCCACCTAACAGGGAAACATCTGCCAAACATCCCATTTCCTGCATATTCCACAACTGGCCTTATTTTGGGGGGGGGGGGTCCATTGCCATTTTCTATGTCCACAACCTCCAGTGAAATCTAACCTAGTTAGCAGTAGACCAAGATAAGCAGGTCACGCCAAGGGGGGTGGTTCAAGTCAGCTTGCAAAATACACATTTTTAACTGCAGAACACAGCTTGTTTTTAGCTGAAGGAGTATCTAGGATAGGTTACCACTAGGTGACAGCAAATAGACGCTAAAAAACAGTGATCTACTTGTGCCATCTGGTGGAAGAATTGGTCATGACATGCAGCAGTCTTCACCACCTGCATCTGGGGAGGGGGTGGGGGAAGAGAAATTGGGCTAATTTTTCCAATACGGGTAGTCCTTGAATTACGACCACAATGGAGCCCAAACATTTATGTTGCTAAGTGCGACCTTTCTTAAGTGGGTTTTGCCCCATTTTAACGACCCACCCTGCCACAGTTGTTAGTGAATCATTGCAATTGTTAAGTTAGTAACGATTGTTAAATGAATCTGATTTATCCATTGACTTTTGCTGGGTGCTGCAATAGTCGTAAGTATGAAAAATGGTCATAAGTCACATTTTTTAGATAGGTGGGTTAGTAGGTGGATGGTAGACAGAGATTGATTGATTTGACATGACATTAAGAATTGTTTGGTAGTAAAAACTTCATTTGTTCTTTTTAGATAGAAAGATAGATGATAGATGATAGAGATTGATTTGACATGACATTAAGAATTGTTTGGTAATAAAATCTTCATTTCTTTTAGATAGAAAGAGCTAGATGATAGATAGATAGATAGATAGACAGACAGACAGACAGACAGACACTGATTTGACATGACATTAAGAATTGTTTGGTAATAATAAAAACTTCATTTGTTCTTTTTAGATAGAAAGAGATAGATGATAGATAGAATTATTTTCTGTGATGTTGTAACTATGATCAGTCACTAAGTGAACTTTGGTAAGTTGAGGGATACCTGTGTTTGCCCAAGGATGTATTTTACTCTTTCTAAAAATATAAACCCTTTTCTGTTAATCCAGATAATTTTGTAATACTCAGATTAATAATGGGACAATAATAAAGGAATAAGCACTGAAATGTTTTTTTCCTATGTCTTGTTTTTTCTTTTTCTTGCAGCTTTTGCCTTTTTCCAACACATTATCTCCACAATGTTCTTCTTCAATTTCTTCTTTTTCTTGGCCTTTTTGCTTTCTCTGCAAAAGAAATTGAATAAATAATTGTGACATGGAAGGGTGAAAGAGATGAGGAAATGGCATTAAATAAATTAACCCTGCGATGAAATTACAAATCCTTGGAACTGTGTGTGCTTTCCCAACGGGCAAAAATATCCGCTGGAAACTCAATTGTCTGGTTTGCCCAAAATGTTAAGCCAAAGTGGGGTTAACCCAGATATAAGAGATTTATTTAATAAACCACGGCTGTACAATGAAGAGTCATGGATAGGAGGGAATATTTATAGCTCAGGGTTGAACTGTGGGGTTCCTTGGGGCTCCCTGTGCTGGGTTGTTTCCTTGCAGACATTTCATGACCCAACTAAGTAACATCATCAGTGCTAGAAGGGAGTGGGCTTTAGTGCAGGTATCTAATGCAGCATGTAGCACTCATGATGTTACATAGTTTGGGTAATGAAACGTCTGCAAGGAAACCAGCAAGCGCAAAGAGCACCAAGGATCCCACAATTCTCCTCCTCCTCCTCCCTGCCAACTCCCCTGCCTTCTAGCACTGATAATGTTACCTAGTTTGGTCGTGAAATTTCTGCCAAAAAGCAACCCAGCTCAGAGAGCACCAAAGACCCTACTGGTAAAAATAAAAATAGCCTAATCAAGGAACCACCAAGACCTCTCCCATCAATGCTGACAGGGCACTCACTGTTGACAGAGAGCAAACCCCACACTCCCTTCCAGCATTGATGATGTTCCCCAGTTGGGTCATGAAATGTCTACAAAAAAACAACCAAGCTCAGAGAGCACCAAGGACCCTATAGTTCTCCTCTCTGCAAATCCCACCTCCTTCGGGCACCTATGACGTTACTTAGTTTGGCTCATAAAACGTCTACAAGAAAACCACCAAACTTGGACAAGCACCAAGGACCCAACAAGGAAGAGCCCAAAAGAGCCGGCCTCTTTTTTGCCAGATCAGCAGGCCAACAAATTCCCGCCATTAAACTTACCGGTCAACTCTGCAGGTCCTTTGCCGATTTGGACACGTGGTGCGTTTGTGATCGGCTTCACCGCAAACGAAGCATCCAGCCTGAGCTCCTTTGCAAGGGTGAGCGGGGAGAGCGCAGCGATTGCAGATGCTACAGTGGAGCCAGGCTGCCAAAAGAAAGGAAGGATTCCGTCCTCAATGAAAAGCAGCAATCTCTTCTGACCCAAGCCTTGTTCAAATTAAACAAGCACAAACTGTGCATAAAAGCAAACCTTTTTTAATGCGGCGCTGGGAATTCTGTGTATTCCCAGCCAAGAGTCATTTAAACCTAATTGTCCGATATCAAAAGCCAGCCTTTCAAGGCTGACAAGAACAGAAAAATAATTACTGATTAAATATCCACCGACAGAAGTTGCAAAAACAAACCGGGGTAAGCAGGGCTTCAACAAAGACTCTTGAGTCTAAAGAACTTCTTTGCTTCCTGCAAAGAGCACATCCCCAAGGGCTGGCTTTTATCCCTAATGGGAGGGGCCATCACCTTGCAGCCTTACTCCCGAGTCACCCTTGCTGCTTCAGCTGCTCTTTCCTTCGAGCAGCCCTGTGCGCACACGCACTGGGCACAGGCTCCTCGGGTGGCTATTCATCACTGCTGCCAGCCTCCACAATCTCCGAAGGCAGCACTCCACTCCCTGATGTCCCCATCCCTGCATCACATGCAGGCCCCTCATCTGAGTCCTCGTTCTCCGAGACCTCAGCCATCCACATCTGCTGCTGGCGAACCACAACACAATAAAGCATTTGGATCGTTGCGGCCCCTATTAATCAGCATGCAAATTTGGGGAGCTGAAGTCTGCAAGTCTTAAAATTGCATGCTTTGATAAACAGGGCCTTAGAAGGACTGCATTGAACGACATAAAAAAAAATCTTCTAGAATATACAATAAAATGTACAATAAAATGTTTCAGTATGTTGTGGTCAGTCGGTGGTCTGCGGAGCTGGCAGCAGAGTCAAATAGTGGGAAGGAACAGGGGCTGGTCCTGGAGTCTGGGGTGGGCTCAGACGACAGATCTGCATCCGACACAGAGATGGGGCCAGAGAGAGTTACGTGCCGACTTTGGAGAATCTGACATCAGCGAGGCAGAGGAACAAGAAGAGCCTGTTCCCAGTGCGTGCTTGCACAGAGCTGCCAGAAGGCAAGAACAGTTCAGACAAAAGGGGCGACTCGGGAGTAAGGCTTGGAGATGATTGGCCCCTCCCATAAGACATAAAGGAGGAGCAAAGGGACATGAGCCTTTGCAGGAAGCAATTTTTGTTCTTTCTGGTTGGTTTAGACTCTGAAGCCCCATGTTGACTTTGTGGTCCATTTGGCCTTGTACAGCTAATTTAGTCGTTGGCAGCATTTCAAGGGAGATAAAGGTGGGTGCTTATCAGCCTTACCCCAAAGGACTGTGGCAAACTGTGAACAGTCTGTTGGACTGTTCACAAACTCTTTGGGACTCTTTACCGGCTGTGAATGCATATAATTCACAGCCATTGAAATAATTTTTAAAAAAAAGGTTTTTGGGAACAGTGTGTGATTGTTATTGTCTCAGGAAGCCTTGGTCAGAACACAGTAAATCCCCAGACCCAAATATGAGAAAATTCCTGTTGCTGTTTCCAGACCCTTTGGAAACTATAATTAACCAAGATCAAAAGGAGGTCAAATTTTCTAAGAAGATATCCACCGATCTCAGTTAAGGGGGTCTGTTTTGTGACTGGGCCAGAGGCTGAGTCATCTTACCCCAAAGTAAAACATTAAAACTTTTTTTAATGGCCGTTTCATCTTGAATTCTCCTGATCCCTATAAAGATGGTATTTAAACACACACACACACACACACACACACACACACACCACCAACAACAACTTACAGGGTTTTACACATTTTTTGCAGAGATTACAATGTGTCCAACGTCTGCCATCCTATTGCAAGGAAGAAAAACATGTTAACTTTGATGTAGATGAAAGAACGAAAGTATCATTTACCATCAAATTATTACAAGTAGTTCTCAACTTACAAACACGACTAAGCCCAAATTTTCTGTTGAGAAGAAACAACTAGACACAAGGACAGTTCTCCCCCGAATGCCATCAGTCAGCTAAACAAATAATTCCCTCAACAGTCTAACTATTTACTAAGACTGTATTACTATTATTCTTCTCTTCCTTCCGATTACCTGTCTCTTCCAACTTACAACTATAACCGTGTTGCTTGTATCTTTATGATTAATATTGTTTCATTTAGTTTCCTAGTACAATTGCTTATTTAGTATCCTATGACTATCACTAAATGTTGTATCTTATGATTCTTGATGAACGTATTTTTTAATGTACACTGAGAGCTTCTGCACTGAAGACAAATTCCTTGTGTATCCAACCACACTTGGCCAATATTCTATTCTATTCTATTCTATTCTATTCTATTCTATTCTATTCTATTCTATTCTATTCTATTCTTTATTCCAATATTGTATTCTACTCTGCTCTATTCTTTATTCCAATATTCTATTCTATTCTAATCTAATCTAATTCTATTCTTTATTCCAATATTCTATTCTATTCCACTCCATTCTATTCCATCCCATTCCACTGCATTCTATTCCATTCTATTCTATTCTCTTCCATTCTATTCCATGCCATTTTTCACACAGCTATCTCTTCCTAACTCCAAGCTATAACTTTGACACAAAGTTCTCCTTGCTCTTTTCTAGCAAAGTGAAAACAAAGAAATCCATCCATCTGAAGACAACATGTTGTAGCCATGGTGTAGGGATATCAGCATCCTGATGTCTGAATTCTGCCTCAACCCCAATCCATTGAAAAGCAGGAGAACTAACTTGAGGAGCAACCAACCATCGCAAGAGATTGTTGCCAGGGCAGACTCACTTTTGAAGTACAGGAATGGCAGGTGTCACAGTGCCGGTTATCGTTGCTGACATATCGCTGACAGAGAGGGCAAAACCTGATGGAGACAAACCAGTGAGAAGGTTTTGAGAAAGGATCTGGCTAATCCTGACTAAGTATCATGCCCCTGTTGGAGTCTGAATCCGAGAAGGAAGACAAACAGCTGACAGGGAGTGGGAGTGTGGCTCCGTTGGCTGTGGAGGAAACTGGGGAAGGGCAAAGTCCAGCTGGGCAGAGCAGGGAGAGGTAGAACAAGGGAGAGGGAGTTCAGAGGAAGACCCAGGCCCAGCCACTCTTCATCCTAGGGCAAGCAGGGAGGAATGGAGAAGGGAGCAACGTGGGTTGCATGGCTTATGGGGGAGGAAAAGGCCCTGATTCCCTTCATTAGCCATACCTGGGAATGAGAGTTTAAAAGAGATGCAAGCTGAGAGCAGCGTCTGCTGGGAACAAACGTGAGTTTATCTTGTGTTGACTTATCTGTGTTCCTGGTGTCTTCCCAACTGGTTGGATTTATTGCCGTGTTACTTCACTTCTGGAACTCCTTATCGTGCCCTGCTGGATTTATTGCCTTATCTTGCTTTGTTGGATTTATAGTTTTTATAGTTTTCTGTTTACAATGTTTTAGACTGGACTATCTGCAGCCAAAGCCTATTGCAGGTTCCAGGGAGAGTTTTTCTCCAAGCCGGAAGGTAACCGGAACCACGTTGGAGCTAATAAAGGGACCCCTTACATTACCTGGCTGGGTTGTCTTTGTGCCACGCCCCGTGTCATTACAAAGAGGCTTGGTAAGTCAGGGCTCCCTAATCCCTGGTCCGTGGAACCACACCGGGTCATGGCATGCCAGAAACTGGGCTGCCAAACCAGCAAAGTAGCATCTGGGGGATGCAGGCAACACAGGAAACCATATCCCTTCCAGTCCACAGAAAAACCTCTTTCTGTGGAACCGATCTCCAATGCCCAAAAGGTTGGGGGCCACTGTGGTAAGCTACATCAGTGGGTTTTATAGATAATTTGAAAATAATTTGTTCTATTGAGCAAAGGGTTTACCTGTATCCTTCTTCTGCAGGAAGAACTATTGAACGTGGGGATAGGTTTGTAAAAATACGAACTGGGGATTGTTTGCGGCCTCTTTTCCCGTGCTTATATAGCGCGTGGTTGTCATAATCAACCTAAAAAAAATAAAAATAAAAGCAGGAGTCATTAACAAAAGGGAGGCTGATAAACCTTCCAGGGTAGTAGAGGGAAGTCACAAAGCAGGCACCTCGTCCCGATAAAACCCCTTTTATTTCGGTTAAAGGGAATTCCTCTCCAGCAAAGTCCCGGCCAACAATCTTTCAAGAGATTTCACAACTACAGACCTTGATCAGGCTTGGAGAGCTGCCAGGCCAATAGCTTCCAAACGCCACACTGTAGCAGCAATTACTTGGCAAGAAGTCAGGAACAGATCTTCACCCTAATAAATTGAACTAATTGTCCCCTGAGAACACCACTTCCCATTTGCTCCTCTTTTATTCCCTATGGGAGGGGCCGTTCACCACCCTCCTGAGCCTTTACTCCCGAGTCGACCCTTGTTCCTTAGCTGTTCCCTTCTTCTAGCAGTTCTGCACATGCGCACACTGGGAACAGGCTCCAGCTATTCTTCTTCCCCACTGATCTCCAATTCTGAAGACAGCTGATAACTGTTGGATGGCCCTGGCCCCAACTCTGCCTCCAATGCAGAGCCCTCGTCAGAGCCTTCCCCAGACTCCAGGACTGGCCCATGTTCCTCCCCAACCTCCTCACTGTCCGAGTCTGCCACCATCACCATTGGCCACTGGTGGGCCACAACAGCCATGTTAGGATTCTGAAGGACAATGTTGGGAAGACAAGAGTCCCAATGGCCTGTAGGGAGCTTATGGGAAACCTGGGTTGATTGCATGACCAGCTGGCATAATTGCTTCATAGTTAGCTTTGGGAATAGGTAAATGTACTTTAAAACAGAGCCACCACTCTCTTGGCTCCTATACTGAGGATTATTTTATAGGGATTATGATCCATTTTCTTATTGGGTCAGTGCAAGATTTTATCAGAAATGTTCTAAAGTAGCCACATCTTTTCCTTGCATCAGTCCAAATCTTCCTTGGAGACAAAAAATTATTATATATATATATTTAGGAAAAGAAAAGGACAGATTCAATTGATGGTTCAGCACAAACCTAAACAAAGCAGTTCATAATCAGAAGCAGAGAGATTCCAGAAGTCATAAAGAAATTGGCACAAAAAGTTTACAGATTTTGATCGAGAGCTCTTTGACCTTACCTGATAATCCAACATTGTGAAACTTGGAAAAAATTCAAGAATGCGTGGCTCAAAAAAATAGGGAAATATCCAAAGGATGGGTAACTCTTTGCTAGTAATAGATCCTAGGGAGGCAAAGAAGGAGGTAAGAGATATACGTACCATTCACAATATGTTTGAAAAATAGATGTAAAAATAGATACAAAAAGAGATATAAAATAGGCATAAAATGATATAAAATAGATATAAATAAATTTATGTAAATAAAAAATAAAATTCTGCAAGGAACAACACAGCAAAAACGCTTATTATCTTTGCAAACTATTTAGGGCTAAAATGATCTATTTTGCAGAAGAAACCTTGCAGCCCGCTCTGAATTGTGGCATGCTAGTTGAAAAACTCTTAATGAGTTCTCAATAGAAGACAGCCATTGCAGCTGTGGTCCTTTCTTACATCATGTCAAAATGGCCTGCAATGCCCTAGCTTAGAGCAGCATCCTGAAGGGAGAAGCTGAAACAGGTTATGGTCCAAGATGGGAGGGCTCTGTAGCTATTTTCTCAGCCCTCTTTCCTGCTTTGTTTAAGTGCCTCAGTTACCTGCACCTCCTCCTGAGCTCCACATGGCCATCAGTTTTTGGAAACTAGAAGCCAGCGCCTCCACCAGGCCTCCAAAGGGGGGGTCAGCCACCAGGACCGCAGGACCGCCTTGGTCTTCCTGCAGGAATTCCTCACAAACACGGGACGCCGCCTGCAAGAGAGCCAGAGAAGGCTCAGTTTCTGGAGATCTGGCCTCTTGAGAGTCTCACTCTTTTAAAGGGGGTCTTTTAACTATCTTATATGCAGAACTAGCTCCATACCCGTGCTTCGCTATGAAACTATGTGGTAGGGCTTAGTTTTTGGGGAGGAAAATAAAGAAGAAAAAAATTCTGCCTCGGCCTACCAGCATCCATCGGTATTCATCTGGCTAGCGTCCTGTCAGTGTGTGAGAGTTGAGGGCTGTTTGGAAACTGAAACAGTATTTGCTGGGTGAGCAAGGAGACAGCAAGGAGCCTGGGCGTGGCTTAGCTCAACTGTTCAATAAAAGCTGCTTGGTGCTCTGAAACTGAAACTCTTCTCCTCTGCTTGTGTTTTGCATTTGGAAGAGATTTCTTTTCAGGTGGAGAAGGGGAGTAGAACTCCTCAGCATCAGAGCGTGTTAATAGTAATAACAATATAAGATATACTAAATGCTCTGATGGTCATTTCGAACAATCCTTTCTTAGTGAGCCCCTAGAAGCCAAGAGGAACATACAGGTGAAACTCAAAAAATTAGAATATCGTGCAAAAGTTCATTTATTTCAGTAATGCAACTTAAAAGGTGAAACTAATATATGAAATAGACTCATTACACGCAAAGCAAGATAGTTCAAGCCGTGATGTGTCATAATTGAGATTATGGCTTACAGCTCATGAAAACCCCAAATCCACAATCTCAGAAAATTAGAATAGTGTGAAAAGGTTTTATATTCTAGGCTCAAAGTGTCCCAGTCTAATCAGCTAATTAAGCCATAACACCTGCAAAGGGTTCCTGAGCCTTTAAAAGGTCTCTCAGTCTGGTTCAGTAGGAAGCACAATCATGGGAAAGACTGCTGACCTGACAGTTGTACAGAAAACCATCACTGACACCCTCCATAAGGAGGGAAATAAGGTAATTGCAAAAGAAGTTGGATGTTCCCAAAGTGCTGTATCAAAGCACATTAATAGAAAGTTATGTGGAAGGAAAAAGTGTGCAAGAAAAAGGTGCACAAGAAGCAGGGATGACCGCAACCTGGATTGTCAGGAAAAGGCCATTCAAAAGTGTTGGGGACTTTCACAAGGAGTGGATGGAGGCTGGAGTCAATGCATCAAGAGCCACCACACACAGACGGATCCTGGACATGGGCTTCAAATGTATTCCTCTTGTCAAGCCGCTCCTGAACAACAAACAATGTCAGAAGCGTCTTACCTGGGCTAAAGAAAAACAGACCTGGTCTGTTGCTCAGTGGTCCAAAATCCTCTTTTCTGTTGAGAGCAACTTTTGCATCTCATTTGGAAACCAAAGACCCAGAGTCTGGAGGAAGAATGGACACTGCACATACTGCAAGATGCTTGAAGTCCAGTCTGAAGTTTCCACAGTCTGTGTTGATTTGGGGAGCCATTTCATCTGCTGGTGTTGGTCCACTGTGCTTCATTAAGTCCAGGGTCAACGCAGCCGTCTACCAGGAGATTTTGGAGCACTTCATGCTTCCTTCCGCAGACGAGCTTTATGGGGATACTGACTTCATTTTCCAGAACTTGGCACCTGCCCACACTGCCAAAAGCACCAAAACCTGGTTTAATGACTGTGGGATTACTGTGCTTGATTGGCCAGCAAATTTGCCTGATCTGAACCCCATAGAGAATCTATGGGGCATTGCCAAGAAAAAGATGAGAGACATGAGACCGAACAATGCAGAAGAGCAGAAGGCCGCTATTGAAGCATCCTGGTCTTTCATAACACCTCAGCAGTGCCACAGGCTGATAGCTTCCATGCCACGCCACATTGAGGCAGTAATTGCTGCAGAAGGGGCCCAAACCAAGTACCGAGTACATGTGCATGCTTATACTTTTCAGAGGTCCGATATTGTTCTATGTACAATCCTTGTTTTATTGATTGCATGTAATATTCTAATTTTCTGAGATTGTGGATTTGGGGTTTTCATGAGCTGTAAGCCATAATCATCTCAATTAAGACAAATCATGGCTTGAACTATCTTGCTTTGCATGTAATAAGTCTATCTCATGTATTTGGTTCACTTTTTAAGTTGCATTACTGAAATAAATGAACTTTTGCACGATATTCTAATTTTTGGAGTTTCACATGTACGTGCCCAATTTCAAACTTGTAGGCTTTACGGTTCTGGAGATTGTGATGATGCGTGAGGGGTATTTTGCTTTTATATAGAGAGAGTTGGAAGGTACTTTAGAGGTCATCTAGTCCAACTCCCTGCCCAAACAGGAGACCCTATCCTATTCCAGACAAGTGACTGTCCAGTCTCTTCTTAAAAACCTCCAGCTGAAGCACCCACATCTTCTGGAGGTAATTAGTTCCACTGATTAATTGTTCTGACTGTCAGGAAATTTCTCCTTAGTTCCAGGTGCTTCTCTCCTTGATTAGTTTCCATCTGTTGCTTCTTGTCCTGCCTTCAGGGGCTTTGGAGAATAATTTGACCCCCTCCTCTTTGGGGCAGCTCCTTAAATACTGGAATAATGCTACCATGTCACCCCTAGTCTTTCCTTTCTGTAGACTAGCCATACCCCGTTCCTGCAACTGTTCTTCCTGTGTTTTACTCTCCAGGCCTTTAATTGCCTTAGCTGCTCTTCTCTGCACTTTTTTTTTCCAAAGTCTCAAACATCTTTTTTGCAATGTGGTGACCAAAACTGGATGCAGCATTCCAGGTTGGCCTTACTAAGGCTTTATAAAGCGGTACTAATACTTCATGTGATTTTGATTCTACGCCTGTACAACCAAGGATTGCATTAGCTTGAATACACCGTATTAACTGATACCTTTAACCAAGGGTCTTCAAACTGGACAGCTTTAAGACTTGTGGGACTTCAACTCCCAGAATTCCTGAGTTAGCATGACTGGAGGAGGAGGAATTTGGGGAGTTGAAGCCCACAAGTCTTGAAGCTGCCGAGTCTGAAGACACCTGCCTTTAACTTCTTCATCAGGGCACATGTATTAATGGCAAGCAGAGTCCTCTGAAGGGTTCAGGAACTGTCGGTCACTCCTTGAATATCCCACCACCGCTGCACCAGCTTGGGGGGCGGAGAGGGGGGGAGGGGACACTGGTAAAACGTGCATGAAACTTGACTGGCCCTTACCTCTCCAGCAAAGAAATAATGGTTGAACATGTTATAGTGACAAAAGCCCTCCTTGGGATAGAACTGCGAATACCTGTAAAGGAATGGTTTCTTATTAGGTTTACACCTGAGATTTCAGCAGTCAAAATAGAGGTGGGCGATCTGTTGAACTCGGTGGATAAAAATGCCTCAGCTGCTTTCTCCCTTAGCGTTCAGCTGCTCCAATGTCTCCTAAAAGTCCATCTATCTGACTTTCCTTCCTTCCTTCACCTTCCTTCCTTCCCTCTCCTTTTTTTCCCCCTTCTCTTCTTTTCCCTTCTTAGGTTTTTTTTCCTCTTCCCCTCTCCTCTCTTCCATTTTTTCCTCCCTTTTCTTTTTTCCACCATTTCCCCCCATTCCACTTCCCCTTCCTCCTTCCCTCTTCCTTTCTTCCCTTCTTCCTTCCTTCCTTCCTTCCTTCCTCTTCCTCTTCCATCAACTCATTCTTCTTTCCCCGTGTCTATGGGGATTCTCCATCATTCAGGTCAGGGTTGACCCAATGTTGCTTTTCAAAAGACAACTGGATTTTCTTGATTTTTTTTTGCTTGAAAACATTGTCATCCAAGAAACTACTTCAGTTCTCCCCTTCTTCCCCTTCCTCTTCCCTTCCCTTCTTCTCTATTTCAATTCCCCTTCTTCTTCTTCAAGGGCTCGGCCAATTGGTGTCAGAAACCGGACTGCCATGAGCATCCATGTTCCTTACAATCTCAGACATTGGGGGGGCGGGGGGGCTAATTAAGTTATAAGAAATATGTACTATTATACCATTACTAAGTGTTGCATCTTATGTTTCTTGATGAATGTATTTTATTTTTTCTTTATGTACACTGAGAGCTTCTGCACAAAAGACAAATTCCTTGTGTGCCCAATCACACTTGGCCAATAAAGAATTCTATTCTATTCTAATTTCTATTCTATTCTAATTTCTATTCTATTCTATTCTATATTCTATTGTATTCTATATTCTATTCTTTCTATTCTAATTCTATTCTATATCCTATTCTATTCTATATTCTATTCTATTCTATTCTTATTCTATTCTATTCCATTCTCTATTGTATTTTTTATTCCTATATTCTATTCTAATTGTAATTCTATTCTAAATCTATTCTAAATTCTATTCTATTCTAATTCCCTTCTATATTCTATTCTTTCTATTCTAATTTCGATTCTATTCTATTCTATTCTTCATTCTCCTATTCTACTTTACTCTACTCCATTCTATTCTATGTCGGTAGGCTCTTTTATAGATCACTTATTCCTATTAATAGCTGAGAAAACAATTCATTAGAAGGATACATCAGAGGGAATCTACATAGAGGTAGTCCTTGCCTTACAAAAATTTGTTTAATGACCGTTCAAAGTTATGGCACCGAACAAAATGAATTATGACCGTTTTTTTCACCCGATCGTTGCAGGATCTCCAAGGGTCATGCTTGGCAAGTGACTCATTTTTACGACATTTGCAAAGGGAAGCCAAATTTACGTGATAGCCAGGTTACTAATTGAATTGCAGGGATTCATTTATGTGAGGGAGTTCCTTGATTAGGAAACTCTGTGCCAAGAAAGGTTGGAAGGTAAAGGTTCCCCTCCTTGCACCTACGTACTAGTTGTTTCCGGCTCTAGGGGGCAGTGCTCATCTCCGTCACAAAGCCGAAGAAGAGCAAGCGCTGTCCAAAGATGTCTCCATGGTCAAGTACCACCAAAGGGGTTCCTATTTTTCTACTTGCATTTTTTTTTACGTGCTTTCAAACTGCTAGGTTGGGACAAGAAGCTGGGACAAATAATGGGAGCTCACTCCGTTACGTGGCGCTGGGGATTCAAATCGCCAAATCGCCGACCATTTCTGATCGACAAGCTCGGCGTCTTCGCCGCCGAGCCACCGCGTTCCTAGAAAGGTTGTAAAACGGAGCAAAATTCACTGAACGGCCGTTTTCACGTAGCCACAGAAAAATTGGGTGACTGTAGGTTGAGAAGGACCTGCCTAGGGATGACACAGTGGAGAAGCACGGAAACAAAGCAACTGCTGGAAAGAGGAAAAACTCTCGGGGAAGAGAGGGCAGCATCCGCATCAATCCCTTAATAAAAACCTCACCGGAAATCAATATCGAGCAAAAGACTCTTCATCGAGATCTTCTCTTCCAACTGGATCAGTTCATGAAGCCTGAAATTGATCAAGGAGAACATCAACCTAGAACCAAGGAGAAACTTCCTAACGGAGAGGACAATTAACTAGTGGAAGGGCTTTACCCTCCAGAAGTTGTAGGTGCTCCATCAGTGGAGGTTTTTAAAGAAGAGATTGGGCAACCATTTATCTGGAATAGTATACCGTGTTTCCCCAAAAATAAGACCTTGACTTATATATTTTTTTTGCCACCAAAAAGGCAATAGGTTTTATTTTGGGGGGGATGTCATCCACTGAGTAACCTCACTTGCACTTGTCGCCCCTGGCCTCCTTTTCGCTGTCAGAGGCCTTCAGGAACTTCTTCTGGAGCTAGCAAGGCTTTCATGAAGGCCTCTGCAGCAGGTAAGAGTGATCTGGATCCATCAAGCTTTGTTATCAGCTCCAGAGACCTTCAGGAAAGCCTTGCCAGCCTTGCTGGCCTTTAGAAGAAATGAGCCAGCAAGGCAGGTGTCGGGATGCGCAAGGCCTGGCTACAACTGTCCAAAGGTAAGTAGTAGGGCAGCTTCATTCCCCCATCCCCACCCTAGCTTAACTTTTACCCGTCCACTCTGGAGTGGGCAGGATCTTCATTAGGGCTTATTTTGGGGGGTAGGGCTTATATTGGGTGCATGTGTAAAAAAAAATCAAGCTAGGACTTACTTTCAGGGTAGGTCGTATTTTCAGGGAAATGGTAGGATCTCTTGCCTGAGCTGGGAGTTGGACTAGAAGACCTTTAAGGTGTCCCTTCCAACTCTGTTCTTCTGCAACTTTGGCCCCATGTTTTATTCCAAGGGCAAAGGCTAAAGGCCATTCGTTGGTTAAGGTCAACTACGGTGGGAGGGAAACACTTAAGAGCTCACCTTGGAGTGCCAACACAAAGCACCCTTCGGAAACCCTGCGCCACAAGAAGATCCAACAGGAAGTGGCAACTTCTATCGGTGAAGAGATACTGTGCGTTGGTCTTCTTGTTCTCCAGAGCACTGAGGAGTTGAGTAGGTCTTCTCAGCTGAGCCGCTGAGATATCAGAAAGTACTGGATGGCCAGAGTGTCTTTCCCATTCAGATATCAACAGGAGCTGTTGACATTCTTGACAAAACTTCCTTTTCGGTGGCGGAAGAGCGACAAACTCCTTGTACCTTATAGCAAAAAAGTCACAGGTTTATTGGCATTGCCTTGAAATTCCTGCCTTTTAATTCCCCCCCCCCAAGTTTTTTTTTATTTCAATCTACACATACACAACAATACATTAACAGTGTGGTATCAATATATCACACATTTTTTAATATAGGCGAACTTAATAACACCAATCCTATCTCTTAATACTCATATTCACATTAAATCAAAATCCTTCCCTGCTTACTTTCAACATTTCAGTACTCTCTCCTAGTGCCAGCCACCAAATCAGTTAAACATACTTCATGTCATTATTCAATTTCCTCCCCAATTTTGTTTTATTTTTAACTGAAAAATTCTCATTTGGCAAGAAGTATGGTTCCAGGTTTCACATCTCAATACAAACATGACTATAGTTGCCTATTCATTTTGTTTGTTTAATTTCATATCACAATAACCTTATTCGTATTAAATATTAAACTTATCCAATTCCAATTCATGTTATAACTTATTTCATTTTTCTTAGGATATTCTAAAGTTCCTGACTTTTAATTGAAGTGCCCATCCATTTACCGTGTTTCTCCAACAATACGGCCTCCACCAATAGGAAGCATGATTTCTAGGTATGAGGTGAAATTAAGCCCCGCCCCCCAAATTTAGGCCTATTTAAACCATGCGCTTCCCTGCCATTTCTCACATCATTCGTTAGAACTACACGAGGTGAAGAGAAATGGGGGGGAAGGGCGGGGGGGATGGGGAGAAAACTTGCCTTTAGGAGTGGCCTGCAGGTAGCCTAGGCTAGAATAACCCGATAGCCGATAGAAGCTCCCTGAAGGCAGAGTCCCCAGCCGCCTCAGGGTGTGGCGTGGCTACCTATGCCCCCTCGCTTTTAGGGCAGTCTCTTTCGGGTGATGGAAGCTCCCCAAATGCAGTCACCAGCCACTTCGATCGGCCGGTAGAAGCGGCCTCGGGGTGTCTGCACACACACACTCCCCTCGCCGCGAGGCCACTTCTATCGGCAGACGAAAGCTCCCTTGAAGGCAGAGTCCCCAGCCGCTTCAGGGAGAGGCATGGCTACCTGTGTCCCCTCGCCTTTCAGGCAGTCTCTTTTGGGCGATGGAAGCTCCCCAAATGCAGTCACCAGCCACTTTGATCGGCCGGTAGAAGCGGCCTCCACGACTCTCTCAAAGAATGCAAATGACCAGCTGCCTGCAAGGAGTATAAAGCCTTCCCTTCCCCACCATCCAGTAAAGAGCTGAAGAAACTTCTTGGAGGAGAAGCGAAATGCTTTGCAACAAACAACAACAAGAAGAAAGTCCAGTTGCCTGTTGTGAAAAAAAGCACCTTGGGACAAGAGAAGTGATCAAATTTCCTTTCATTCTTCAGCTTTTAAAGAATTACTACAGGAACTTGAATATCTGTTTCATGTAACCCAGGAAAAGCATACTTAATTTTCAACTGATTAAGGAAAACTGTCTGGATTCCGCCAGTTCCCCCATTTAAATCCTGAGTCTCGAGCCAAACTTCCAAAACTTCAAAAGGATTTATTGGGAGTTAACATGTCCAGCACTGCCTGGGTGTAGCTGGCTCTGAGATACATAATTCCTTGTCACCCTTGACCCTGGTTTTCCCTCCACCCCCCGGGGTGTATCGTAATTCATATTCTCCAATGGGACATATCCATAGCCCAGAGTCATCAATCATGTTCTCCAGTTAGAATTTTGCACGGCAGAAACTTTGCTCACCTAGTTACTATCTCTGAAAAAAATTATGGAATGTACTTTTGGTTTCCAAGCTGCCACACTGCTCTTTCAAAATCCCTTTCCCCCCTCCCTTTCTTTAATTTTTTTATTGGACAAAGCCAAAAAACAAAAAGAAACATTAAAAACAATGAACGTACAATCCTCCTAACCCACTTACATTGCTAAATCACATAATAAAAATAGTGCATGTTTACATTCTATATAATATATATTTTTTTTTTTT